TTTTTTTCGTATATAATATAAATGTAATTATAAAAAAATTACATCTTTTTCAATTCTCTTCAATCCACCCTCAATTTAATTAATGAAAAACAAAAAACGAAAACAAAGCCTAAGAACTTTTATTCATTATTTAAAAAAGAATGTATAAGATAAGTACATAAGCATATTTACTGTTTGTAAGGATTAGCGATAATCACAATTATTATTAAAATATGTAAAAGAAAAAAAGCAAACCACTTTTTCTTTGTGAAATATAGAATCTTTGACACATAAATGAGAAATTGTACCCCACGTTCCACACAATGAAAATAGACATAAAACAAAAAAAACTTAAAATTTATTTGTCCCACAATTTCTTTTAATATTTCTTTAGAAAGTAATAAAAAAAAGTGTTTTTTTTTTTTGAAAATATATTTAAACTTGATTAAAATTAAAATAAAAATGACGTGATAAAATAATTTCTTAAATTGGCTTTCATTTTAGTTTACTTTTTTTGGTTTTCTTTAAATTTTTATTCAGAAATAATTCAAATTTAACTTTGAATTTTTACAAAATTATTGAAAAATTTTATAATTAATATTTTTTTAATTCATTAGGTAATAAAAAATATTACCTTCTAAAATACGAATTTCTCTTAATTTTATTTTCATGCGGAAATTTCGAACTCCTTAATAACAATCATGACAGTTAAACTAAATTAAAAATCTTGAGAGAAATTTCAAATAAACTCTCATATTCTTTCCATATAATAACATAAAAAAAACAAATTTACATATTTTGTATAATTAAATTATCTTCGAAAGGATCACACTTCGGGTTTAGCAAATTGTATATTCTAAATTAAAAAGATGTAAATATTTTTAATTTTAACATTTTTTTTGTATAACAAAAATTTTTCTTTTTAAAAATATTAAATCTAATTTCTAAATTCTTAAATTTATCTCGTATCCCTTAAACATTTTAAATAGTTATTATATAAGAAGTGATAAAATAAATTTAAAATAGAAAAAATAATTTAACAATATCATAGATCTTTATTCTAAATACATAAAAATTTCAGAAAAAAAATTTACGTAAAATATAGTTCTTTTATCTAATTTTTTTATGTCTTACTATAAAATCAATCCGTTAATTTTCTACATACTCTAACAAACAAAAGTAATTACAGATTTATAAATGCACTACACCATAATATAATGAAGTTAATATTAAAATATCAAGATTTCCAGAAATTTTAATAATCTGAATAAAAACCTTTCATAAAACTTTCTCCAGTTCGGACGGACAGAAAATAAATGTTTCGGAGTGATGACATTTACCGTTACTTGTTTTCAAAAAAGTTTTATAAATTTCATAAAGTGTTAAAACTAATTGGAGAAAGAAATTTTACTTTTTAGAGGTTTTATTCCTCTAACTAGAAAAAAATTTATATAGAAGAAAAATCATATAACAGAAATTAAAAATGACCGCTGAACTAGAAAATTAATATTGCCATTTTGTCTATGACTTTTTAAGGTAAAAAACAATTTATCGTTTATGTAGGATTTGCTTTGTAAGTTTGTGAAAATCTAAAATTCGACATCCAATTTAAAAATTTCAAAATTATATTTTGATACGATGTAGCGCAACAGAATAAGTTATCCATTATTATAACTTTTTACTTCTTGTTTTTATTAGATTTTTCTTTTTTTTTTGTTTTAAAGAAATTAAATAATAATATTATACATACACATATATGTCCTTTTTTAAATATTTTCGGTTTTGATTTATTTACTTAATAATTACTTTTCTTTTGTATTCTAATAAATGTTAATACATGTTCAAAACTTTAATTGTTTGAAACCAAATATATATACAAAAACATTTCTTTTTATATAAATATAATAAAAGATGTTGTCTATCTGTCATTCAAATCTTATTCTTTATATATGTTTGCCGTATTTGTAGATCGATAATAATTGAACAATTTAATAGTACATAATTTAAAACAAACCAAAATAAAAAAAAACACAATAATTGATATATATATATATATATATATATATCTATATCAATATATATATATATATATATATACTTATATTTTATATTTATTTTAATATTAAAAGTAAAATATATTTTATTTATAAAAATGTAATCCTTAAATATTTCAAGTTGATATTAATAAATGTTATACCAAATAAATGTATATAAACGAGTATAAATAACATAAATGAGTGTATAAATTAATAAAACAGAATGAGTTTTGTATAGTTTATTCAGTATAGCGTTAATGCTCAAATTGCATATAAGCGGCTTTTCTATCTTATGAATGCGGATCTCTTCAAGCTTGGAATTCACCAATTTCCAAGATTAAAAGTATTATTAATTTTTGCTTTTTTTTTTAATTATGAAAATGTTGACTTTCTCATATAAATGTTCAAAACGGATAAAGTCCGCAACCATGATCAATACATAGTGAAATTTTTTTAAAACTTTTTAGTTATGAAAATGATTAAGACCTATTCTGATTCAGACCTATCTTTTGAACTTCGATAAAGTGAGTACCAAACTGATTCGAACACCGTTCACAACTAATTAACTTAATTTAAGAATTTATTCCTAAAAAATTAGCAAATATGCGGCAAACATTCAGATTTATTCAAAACCTGTACCCACATACGTCAACAAGTAAAGAATAATCATTTTTTTTTATATAAAAAAAATACTTTTCTCTTTATCAATTACTAAATTGATGTTTCAAAGATTTAAAACATTTTTTAACAAAAGAAACGCGAAAATTTTAAATTTGTGCTCTTTTAGCTTTCAAAATTTTGAATTTTTAACTTTTGGCTCTCGCTAGGAATAAGTCTAGGCCAGCCCTCATTTATAGTTTACTATCTTATTTTTTAAAAGTTTGATGTTTTATTTCAAAGAGATTCTTTTAAATAAGTAACATTTTACAAGGTGAAGCTTATTTGATTTAAACATTATCTGCCATTATACAAGTTTCAAGATTAGGGAGGATCGAGTAAGAAACTTCAAACCGCACGTTTTTAAAAAGTATATATAAATATACAAAATCAGACGTATATATAAATATATATATATTTACACCAATAAGTTTTCCGTAATTTCCACTTTGTACATATATAAAACTTAAATATCGAGGTTTTATAAGGTAAAATACTCTATAGAATTACAAACTATCAATACATAATAATGCAGAAAAAAAATTAGAAATATTTCGTAATTAAAGAAAACAAAATTTAAATTTATTCTTTTAATTCTTTGATATTTGAAATAAAAAACAATTTTCATATTATTTACAAACCATTTACACTTGAACCTAAAATATGGACCAGTCAAGTATTCTTAAATTTTTTTCTATTGATTTTAAAATTCTAATTCTGCTCAACACTGTATTTTCCCGGCATAAATCCTCGATATGCCACATTTATAGCATAAATATAATCTTAAACATCGCTCTCAAATTTTTTAATATTAAATTAATACATTCGAAAATATTGTATATTAGTATCTACATATTATGATGTTGTGAGTAATATTAAAATTTGAAAGAAACAAACTAAGTTAAATTGTAAAAAGCAAAAAAATAAATATTATTTTAATATTATATAAGCGAATTTTATTATAAATGTATAAATCGTAATAAAGTTTTATTTTAAATTATGTTTTACAACATAGACGAAAGAAAATAATATGGTAGTTAGAAGTTGTTAAGGAAACTACCATTTATTTTTTTTATTAAAAGTTTTCTAAATCCATCAATTATATTATATAGATATATGCTAAAATTTTTTGTGTACATAAATAATATAAATAGATAATTTAAGTGTATTTTACATGTTGATTTGATGTTACGTAAAATATTAACGAACAAAAATGTTACATATACATTTTAGTAATAATTAAGTAAGACAAGTACACCCATTTTTTACAATAAAAATGCCAGTGCATTATTATTTAAATATACATACATAAATATATAAAGATATTATATACATAATTTAAATTTTTCTGTTTGGTGTGTGAAATTTTCCCAATTATTTTTTTTATTTCATTAATTTGTATCAAGACTTTGTATTTATTTTATTATTATTCCCCCAAGTATTTTTCTAATTTTCGTTTATTTCTTAATTTTTTTTTCTTTAATTATCTGTGAATCTAATAACTTATATACATGTGTACATACATAATACTTATAAATAATTTGGGCAAAAATTAAATTTTTTATATTTAAATATTTGTATTACTTTTTGTAAAAATAGATTCACAGAAAATATATAATTTTTTCTTGTAATATTTTAAATTTTTTTCCAATTAATTACTTATTTACAAAAAATTATTTGTTAAAAAAGAGATTCAATTATTTATACATACTAAGTTTAAAATTATTTACCCTTTTTTTAATTTTTGGTTCGAACTTTATATTGTCAATTCAACTTGAAAACATAAATAAAAATTTAAAAATTTAAAAAAAAAATAAAATAAAACAAAAACTCACAACTGCAATCCCAAAAACGGTTTTATAAAATATTGTGACATTATAAAAAAAAATATCGTGATCCACAAAATTATTTTGTAAAAAAAAAAATTGCTAAATTTATATTAATAATAAAAATTATGTTACATTAAATGACTATATCATCTCTACAAATCGGCAAATAATAAATTTTTAATGATCATTCTTCGAAAATGAAAAAAAAAAACATTTTCTCTTATTATGATTTTTGTTTATCTTGATTTTTATTATATTTTACTTTTGTAATTTAATTTTATTTTTGAAAAAAAAAAAAAATAATTTTTAAACATTTAAAACCAACAAAAAAATCCAAATTCCAAAAAAAAAAAAAAAAAAATATACCCTTTTTAAACGCGCTAATTATTAATATTATAATTTTGCTTGAGAATAATATATAATTTGAAAATATGCAATTAAATGCTAATTTTACAATGCTAAATTCGCAAAAAAAAACTTGCAAAATTTAAATATTAAGAAAAAGAAAAGCGCGAAACTCGAAATAAATCCTTATTAAATTGGCATCGGTTAATTCACGCAATTCGGCGACCACCCACAGGACATAATCTGTCACAAGCTGATGGTGATAGTAATGAAGGTGAATCAAATCGTAATCCATCAAATACTGGTACTGGATGTTATAAAAATTTTGATCATATATCATCAATTCGTAATGGAAATATGCCACAGGTAAAAATTTTGATTATATAAAATAATCATATAATACAATATATATTTGATATTCGATTTAATAATAGTTAAAATTGTTTCCATATAATTACTTTTTGGAATTTTCTGCTGCGCTAAAATTAAAAAGATTTAAAATTTCTATATCAGATATTTGTAACAAAAAAAAAATTAAATAAAGTTAATTAGAATCAAAAGGTATAAAGTATTTAGGATATAATTTTAAATTTAATTTTCGAATAATCCTATTTGAAATTAAAGCAATATTTCTTAATCAATCATATATTAGTATGATTTCCAGCAACATAGTTAGTGTAATGATAGTATAAAATAATAAAAATCAAAATTTGGTTTTTCCAGACTGGCTAATTGGATTTCCTACTTTTGTAACCCAAATTTTATATTTCTCTAAACTTGTTTTGACGCTTACGTTGAATCCTTTATAAACTTTATTTCTTCAATTTCGGCTTCTAAATTTTCACTTTTTGACTGCAATACCAGTTTTCTAAACAAAAATATTAATTAAATAAGAAGTATTACGATTTTAATGATTAATTTCGGAATTTTTAATTTTGAATAAGTAATTCTTTCCTATTATAATTTTATATATAATAATCTTATATTGTAATATATATTATATGTATTATATAAAAAATTTATATTCAAAAAATTCTTCTTTAAAAGTTCTTCTTTTACATTAACAGGTTTAAATGATTTCTAAACAATTATAAGTTTTAACTTCACAAATATTAATTATGCTATTATTATTATTTTTATGAACAGAATATTTCAATACCAGATAATGAATCGGTACCACCTTATACACCAGAAGTACAACACTCAAATCAAATCCAACAACAAATTTTGTTACAACAACAGCAAAATTTGCAAATGGAATCTTATAGGAGTGAATCACAAAATATTGAAGAAAATCAACCATTAACTGATCAAGATACCAAATCAGATAATGTACCGTCCCAATTACCAACGCAAATGATGGTAACACCCCAGGTATGTAAAAAGTTGTTAAAATTAAATATCAAACGCAAAAGTGTTATTACAATTTTGAAAAAAGAATTGAAAAAAATAAATAAATCTACAAAGATGTTTTTTTTATGTTTTTATAAATAATTATGCTTAAAAATATATATGTATATATGTATAAGCAAAATATATACATATTTATATACTTGTTTAATTGTGAATTTGTATGTAAATTTAATATGAGCAAAGCTTTATAAATATTTTAAATTAAAGCAAATAAAAAATGGAACACAGTATAATTTTGAAATCGGCTTTAAATAAAATTTAAAAAAAAGAACAAAAAATTGCAAAAGAAAAGTGAAATTTTAAGTAGGAAATGCCGTTATGTAATATTTCGTGTAAATAAAACTGTGTGCAAATTATTAATAAATTATAGTCAATGTTTTTTAAACATTCTTGCTTTTTAAAATGCTCAAATATTTAATTTATTTTTTTGATATTTTTAATTTCAAACAAAATTTTTTAAATAATAAATATTATCAAAATGAATCGTTATTACAAAATTAATTAAACCAACTACATAATTAAAGAAGTCTTAATAATAATTAAATTATCAAAATTTATCCATTTATGAGTAATGTTAATACAATGTTAATATAATAAATAATATGTAACTAAATTAAAAAAAGAGTTCAGACTCAGATCTATTTTATATTATATTAAAAATTAAAAATGATTATTTTTAACCTAAAAATTATATTACAAATTATGCATATATTATATAATTATTTTGAATGAAATTTAGGATTTAGGGTCAAAACCGAAATTCAAATGCTTATAATACAACAACATAATAATAAAAAAAATATATTAAATATTCATATAATTTTTCTTTTCTTTTTTTTTCCACATTTCTAAATCTTTGGTTGTTACAAATAATAATTATAGAATTTACAAACAAGGATAGACGAAGAGGTATATTCAGTTTTTTCCTTTTATATTTATTTGAAATTTTTTTTTAAATATTTTTTTTTAATTTTTTTTATTAATTTTATATACTCTTTACTATTTTTAATACGATGTTTTTTATTAATAATTAAAATAAAAACAAAAATAAATTATAAATTTTTCTTAATTATCTAACGATTGAAACTTTGGTTTTTTCTTTTGTTTGCTAATTAATATTTTGTTTTTCCATTATTTTATTGAATAATATAAGTATAATATACATAAAATTTAATATTTTTGTAAGAATTTTCATTTTTTCTTATACTACTATAATAAATATTAATGATACAAAACCAACATTTAAAAACTTTACTTATATGATATGTAAATTTTTAAAATGCATTAAATTTTACACAATTTTATAGTATTAAATTTTCAACGTTTACATTATTATATGAGCATTAATTTTTTTTTAAATTATTTTTCATTACTTTTAAATAATTATGTATTAAGAAAATACTAAACAAAAATATTATTTTTAATTTTAAAGTTCATAGATTTATTATTGCCTTTATTTTTTCTGAGAAACAAGTTTAAATAAAGTTTAATTATCGTGATCTATGTATTTTTTGCTAAATACAGATCACACGCTTTTAAGGTTAAAAAAAATTAATAAAATGAAATTTAAATAATTACAAATGAATTTTTTACTACAATTTCAAAGTCGCACATATTTACAATGATATGATTCATAATACATTAGACGAATCAAAATTAAATCATAGTCAATTTAAAACTTGGAAAAAGCGATAACAAATTTAGGAACTCATTCTTTTTATTTTTTTTAATTACATAAATGCAATTTTTTTTTTAAATGAAAAAGGTTTACAAATAAAAACTAAGAATTTTTGAAAAAATTTCAATTTAAATTCAAAATTTCGTTTTATATTTTTCAAATGTGTAAAATCGACTATTTAGTTTATTTATTTTATTTTATCTGCTTCAATTTTGCTAAAAAATATGACTAGAGTTATGAAAAAATAAATTTTTTTTTATTAAACTATATATATATATATAGATATATATATACAATACGCTTTTTCGATTAAAATCTATTATTAATACATATGCAAATTTTATAAAGCATGATCACCACTTCATCATTTCATTTAAAAAATAATAATGGATATTGTATAACATCACCTAAAAAAAAAAATTGTGAATTATAATAGATTTCTTCCAAATTTTATCGGGCTTATGATTAATAATATCGATTTTTAAATCTAAAATAAATAAACAAATGAAGATCTAACGTCAATTTGATCGAATTAGCAATACAAATTTTGCTGCTGAATAAATCAGATTTCTATAAGATTTGCATTCAGATGCACTTACTTTTTAATTAAATTTCAAAACAGTAATTATAGAATTCACTATAAAATTAAACAACCAATCTAAATTTATGTGAGATATTTGTTTAATTTTTATTTCATGTTTTTTAGATGCTCAATTGTATTATAATTTTGAAAACAGATTTTTCTACTTATTAAATTTTTTATAAAACTTTAGTGATAATGTTGGGGTCCTCAAAATCACCTTAAAGATATGAAAAGAATTAAATTTTTTTTCAAAAGAACATCCATTTCATTATCCATTTAATTGCATATAATATATAAATATGAGATATTCGATGTACACATATATATATATAAGTATATATATATATGTGTACATAAATATATATATATACTTATATATATATTTATACTTCTTTTCTAAAAATAAAGAAACAGTTAAGAGTTATATGTATATTCATGCAAATGTATACGAAATATTTACTCTTATTATTTTGAATTTTCTTTTCACGTCTAAATTTTCCCATTATGAGTTTAATCTTCAATCTTAATATCTTAACACCTATATAATATTCGGATGAGACTGTGCCTCCTATTATTATTTATTATTTTGTCGCATAAAAACTCTTAAAGAATAAATTTCTTTGTTTTCTTCTTTTTTAATTGATTAGAAGTTTACGGAAGCATAGATGTATTGACTTAAAAAAAAAGGATAATTGTAGTGAAATGCATATTATACAATTAATTTTATATGCAACAGTAACATATATATATATGTACAAAAATGTATTGTGTACATTTATAAACTGCACTTGTTTAAAGATTTGATTGAATTTTTGCTAAACTGTTATAAATCATAAATAATAGTGTCTCTTATATTTAATTTTATTTAGTTTTATGATATTAACGAGAATTCCAACACTTCGTTAGAATTTGTTAAATTAGATATTTATTATTGCTGCTATACTTCCTAGGTGTCTATTCTTCTAAAGGCGGCGTCAACCTACCTACCTACGTTGCTACTATACTTACAATAATTTAAATAAAATTAATAACTTAAAAAAATTAAAATCAAGTTTTTATGAATTGTAGATTCTAATTCGAAAAGGTATTTCTTAAGAAAAAAGCCCAATCACTCAAGATTCAAAGCGGATGTTTCTGTGATCTAACATGGAAATCTTAGACATCTTCCAGTTCCGCACGAGGTTTCTAGTATACTCGGGCTACCGAATATGATGTCTAGTACGTCTTCTCTAACCCCAGTTAGAAAAGTCGGAGAATTTCCTACATTATATGTGTTTAAGTTTTCTTTAACCAAAAATTCTAGTAAACATCTTGTCAGCCTCTGTACTTTTAATGGTGACACTTAAAGTAACATAAGACACTTAAAGTAACACTTCGTCCACATTTTCTGCCAAATAAGCCTGCACCAGAACTATCTCAAGAATTCTGCCCCTAGCGTTAATATAAGATATGGCGGTAGTCAAGTCCCTCGTTAATAATTCTGAAAGTAGAACAAAATTATAGTAATCCTTACTAGAATGCAGATTCCAGGTAGGTCCTGCACACGGTCATATACTATCTGCGCATCTCTAATGGGCAATCTTCTGATTCGTCCTTTGTATATCCACGGTTCTTGAATAAATACCAGCCCCAGTTCCTGCTTGGTGAGCTTTTTTGTCATTACTATCGAAACAATTATTTTGTAATGGTACTCTCAAAGTTGATCCAGTGTCAGAGAAAAACCTTTCGCGACAACCGGCATACCTCCCGACTACCGATTAATTCTACATAGATAGGCTAGCATAGTCACTATAGGCTTTTACCGTTACTTGATGCTCGCTGAGATTCTTTTATTCGCCCGACTTCTCTCTTAAGCTCTTCGACTTTGTTGAATATCGTTGAATTCTTATTCGCTATAAAAGAATTACTGTAGTTTAGAGTCATGATATTATATTAGATTGTCAAAATTCTCTCATTTTACGCTATTAATCCCCTCTATTATGAACATCGGTATCGGCCGATATATTATCGGCAGTTCTCATCGGTTTTGGGTTTCTTCTGTATTATGAACCGATACCGATAAAAATATTTCAACCGATTAAAAGAAGCTTTTTCATACAAATTTTTGTTTTTGTAAATTGGAGAAAATGTTTTTTTTTCTAATGACATTTGTTTTCTTTCAAAAGTTATTTTCAAAAAATTTTTAAAACTATTTTGAATTTGGTTTTGATGTGCTAAAAAGTTGTAGTAAGAAAATTATTTTCTGTTAAATTTGTAAAATAAAAGTATACATATATCGGGAAAATGTCACGTGCATTATATTTTGAAAGTGAAGAAACGCAAGCTATTCAAAGACGACATATAAGAGATTCAACTAATCCATTGGATTTAGACAACAAAATGTATGTTTATGTACCTATTTTATTTTATTATTTATATAATATGTACACATTTTTTAGGTTTATCCAGAATTTCAGATTATCATTCCTTGCCAGGTTTAAGTCCTCTTCCATTTTTTCTACTAACCGCGCAATTTGTTTTTTGTTGCTTACGATTTTACTCCTAAATAAAATATATGAATAACATTTTGAAAGAAAATAATTTAGAAAAAATGCTTACATTTTAAAAAAGCAATTAATTACACCAGTTTCCTTGATAAAATGAAGATTTTACAAAAAAAAAATCTGTCGTCTAAAAATTTGTACCCGCTTTTAAATCGGTGAAAACCCGACAATTTATCGTTTTCATAATACCAGCTAATACGTTTCCTATACAGGGAAAAAAAGCTTTCCCGACTCCGATAAAATTTACCGATAAACAATGTTGGTAATACAAACACAAAATTTTGCCGATAAATTATCGTTTATCGGCCGATACCGATATACATAATAGAGGGGAATAATAATACTTGATTATCGATTTTCCTCAATATCCATAATTATTTTTTATACATTTCATAATTTTTACATTATTCTTTTTTTCATCTTAGTTTATGCTATATTCAAAATTATGATTTGTTGTTAAGGAATTAATGAACTTCTCTGCGATGGCAAAAATAATATTTAAATGATAATGTCATTAACAAATTTAATGTAAATTTGCGCTACGCTCTTTATAAATTTGCTTGCATATTTTTATAATTACGAAATTCTAATTAATAACAAAAGGAAATTCTTTTGTCATAACTATTATAATATATACTTGAACAATTTATTTTAAAAGTGTTACCAGATATATATTTGCACAATCGCACATATAATGATACGGATTTTTCTAAATTTTCAGTTAGCAAAATAAAGTTATTACAATTAATTGTTATTCAATTAATTTAAGCAAAATTTTAATATATTAATGCAATCATTATTATTAAATTTCATTCAATACTAAGATATATTTAATACAAGTCAGTTTGTTTTACTCGAACACATACTTTTAATCTTTTAATCAAATGATAAAAAAAATTTTCAATATTTTTGAATTATTTTTTTTTAAATTGTCGAATTTATTCTAATTTCAATATATACATGTAGCCTTTGTCAATTGCTAAATTATAAATTAAATAAATCCACCTAGCATGTTCAATTTGTTGTATACTATGCACACTTTTGAAATAAACGGTTCATTTAAAAAAGTAATTAAAGTACAAATAGTAAAGTCAGTGTACTCCGAACAGCTCGAATGAATTTTGCAAATCTCAAATACGAATATACAAAAATTATTTTGTTATACTTAATACTATATTATTCAGAATCACAATTGCAGTAATACTGTATGACTGTACAATTGAATAATTACTATTTAATACTCAGGGTATCTTAGTTATAAAAATTATTTATTTGGATGAGACATTTTTTTGTTTCTTAAGTTGCTTATAATCAACTACATTTCCAATATAATATTAATTCATAAGAACACAGTATATTCTTTGAAAATCTAAATTTTAAAAAATTTTAAAAACTTGTTGGCTACTTTAATTTTTTCCAAAAAATGGTAAGTTCTTAGGTAAATTCAAAAGAAATGAATCTTGTGCTGTAACCCAAAGACAGTAATTTTTAAAATTATGCAAATTTGGTCACAAATAAACAATATCAAATTAGTTCTAAACACGAAAATCAATTGCTAAGCAGTGATGCAGTAAGTTCGGAGGAAAACTGACCATATGATTAAAAATTACATATTAATGTTTATTCTACCCTTACTATTATGAATTGGGATACCTGCTTTTTTTTTCAGTTCAAATTTCAATGATCCAAATAAATGTTACAAATATTTAAAAAAATATCACACCAAAGCTAGATGAGAAACTTTGAAAGTTTTCAAACTCTTTATTGACCTATATTATAGAGAGAGAAGCATTCCAAGCGAATTTTTGAAAGTTTAATGAGAATGTTTATATACGAGGAATCAGTACACTTGTAAATAATTTCGAGTTACCAAAAACTAGTTATTTCGAATCTTCAAAAGAACGAATTCCAAAGTATGATTAAAAGTATAATTAGAATTCGCGCATCTTTTTTATCACAACTTTAATTAACTAATTTTATATGTAATTTTGAGAGAAAAATACATATTGCTAAACTTTAAAAATATATTTTTAAAAATATATTTTGTAAAACTCTGGATTAAATTTTCGAAAATATAGAAGTATACGTACGAAATATAATGAAAAATAGCATACGTGCATTACAAAACAAACAGAAAAATACGAGTGCCCCAGTTCAAAATGGTCGTAGTAGTTAAGCTAATTCGTACGAACAGAATATTTTATTAAATTTTACTAAAGTTTATTTTAAAGGAAAATTAAAATGTTATTCAAATTTTTTCTTTATTTTTTTATCCTTTCGTTTTTCTTCCTTTTTTTTTTGCTATCTGATTTAAATCTTATAGGAAGTAGCTGAATTACGAAGACAGGTCGCTATTGAAAACATACAAAATCAGGGTAAAAAGGATAAAGGAGATTCTGATGTACCAAATGAGTTTGAATGTTGTTTTTGTTCAACAAAGGTACATTCAATGATAAAAATGTCAATTTTTAAGCTTTTTCCCTATTAATTTTTTCTTCTTGAAATTTTTGTAAATTTTCCTTTTTTATATTTTTTGTTTTTTTTTTTGTTTTTTTTTTTGATTTATTTTAATACAAAATTCCTGTAAGTCATATAATTTCTAATTATTTACAAAAATATAAAATTTTATTCTCATCAAATTAAATAAATTTTTTGTTTTTTTATCCTTTTTGGAAAAAAAACATTTAATTTAGTAAAAAAATGCATTTGGCACTGCTGAATATCACATTATGTTTTCAATTTTTTTTTAGTTATGTTTTTTATATATACATATATATACAAATTTTAACTATTAATATTATAACGTTGTTGTAATACATTTTGTTTATTATGTTTCATTTCTAATTTCATTAAATTTATATTTTAACAAAAACAAAATTCTTTTACAATACTGAGTATTAATCCATGATTTGAAAAAAAACCCTAGACAAATAGATAAGGCACATAAATTATAAATAATTTTAAAGAAGAAAAAATATCGTATACTTTGAAATAATAAGATTACTAGTAAAATATTCAAATAAATTGCTCAAAATATTATCGTTATACTCCTTGTATAAATTCATGTAGAATCCATATAGAAATTCTCATATTTAAATACATGATTAGAAATTAAAGAAAAATTATTTTAGAGTTAAAAAGGATTCATAATCCATTCCATTTAAAAAAAAATTTATTAAAAATAAGTTATAATATCTATAACTTTTACTTTCAGTATTAAAAAAAAGACATTTAACGTGGCAATATTTGTAAAAATGTTAAAAAGCATCATAAATTTTTTTGCGCTAATTGTATATCTGTAAAAGTTTTTTAAATTTTATATAATTACATAATTAAAATTATCTTTTTTTATTATTTTGATTATTGCACAATGTTTAAATGAACTTTTTAACGTAAATAACGTAGATTTCAATTATTATAATTTAAAAGGAAAAAAAAATTTACCTCAAATTGAAATTATCTTAAAATTAGTATAGCACATAATATACATTTTACGCTATTATTTACAAAATTTTTAAGTTTCACTAAAACATATTCTCAATTAAGTCATAATACGACAATTAACTTTTAAAATATGGTCTCTTCTAAAATTTAACTTTTATAACTATTTTACAACATTATGAAAGCTGGTATAGAAAGTAAAAATTTGCAATACTTAAATAAAAATATATGAACAAAAAAATCAAAAACATATTTTGTAATCGAAATTCTTCAATTTGCTTTCAACTTATAGGGAATTAATAAAAGCAGTTAGCCCCTCGTGTTGCAAAAAGGACAAGTAATCAAAAAACTATAAAATAATTAAAAAATTCAAATTTCAAATTTGCGATAATGCAATATAATTAACCTTTATTAATCTAGAAAAACAAATAATTAATTCCGAGAGAAAAAAAAATTCAATCGAATGAATTAATTTTTAAATCTCAAGCCTAATTGTTGCACAAAAATAACTTACTTATTATTAATTGACCTCAGAATAATATTGAAATCTACAATATTTGTTAAATATTTTCATTGCATGTTTATAATAAAATATACGTACTTTATTAGCATTTATCATCATTATTTATGTTATAAATATCTACATGTTCCATTATTTATCATAAGTTTTATATGTTATATACTTATAGTATATAAATATTATGCATTCATATTGTTAATGTATTGATTTTTTTGTTTTTTTTTTTAATTTTTAATGTACATGTGACTTAGTGTATAATTTATGTCGTTACTCTGTTTCAATATAAAAATTTATATAAAAAAACAATATAAATTAAAATATTTTATGTTAGAAATACATAAATTTTAAAACAAAAAGAAAATGTGTATAGAAAGTCATATATACATCATATAATTATGCATAGGTAAAAATAATTAATAAATATAAATAATAATTAAATATTAACATGGGTATGGAACAATTACAGAAAATTAAAAAAAATATTTAAAAAATAAATAGTTGTTTAAAATCTTAATACATTACATAAGAAATTTTACAATTTTATATCATCAGGTTAACATGAGTATATTAAAATATAATTGTGTAAATTTCAAAGTGATTGTTTTAGATATGGTACAGTTAACATTTTATATATGTTTCATTTGCATTTTTGTAATAAATTGGAAGAAACAAATTTGAAATTCGCATTGCAATAGAAAATAGAATACGTAAATTCAAGAAAAAACAAATTGAATTAAATTTGAAAAAAAAAATATCATCAGTAACTTTTATTTAAATGTGTATATATTATTTTATTTAATATATAATATACCCAAATCAAATAGTTTAAAAATTTACTTAATTTTATGTAATTTATAAGTGTCCAAGAATTCTAAATGCCTTAACACACATCTACTTATATATTACATATACATACATAATATTGATATAAAAAAATATTGATTGAACAAAATGTATAATAATAATTGGTTAATAAATTATAAATAAACAATAAAACTAATGAGGCTGAAATTAATAACAAAAAGCAAAATATAGTGATATTTCAAATGTAGATGCGACATTATACGTAAATAATTTTCTTGAAATTTTAAATTTTAGGAGGTAATTCAACCTGTTGCACTTCACATTAAATCGTAAATGTTCGGATTTGAATTTAAGCTTTTCAAATTTGAAGTATATTTCAACACAAAAAAGATCAACTTGGAAATTAAAAATGGGTGTTATTTATTTAACACTATTAATTCTAGTGTCGAATACTTTCAAAAAAAAAAACTAAAATTTTTTGGTTCGCTCAGGGTTAGTACATTATACACTTCACATTAAATGGTAAACGTTATATATGGATTATTGATCCTAGCATTTTCTGAAAAAGCTACTCAAATGACGTGTATAATGTCCTCGAAATGGAATGGTTTAGAGCACGCCTTTCATTTCTGTTTTTTTTTTCCAGTACTTCATGTACAACGATAAATTTATCTGACAATAAAAAGTGAAGTAATCAATTCAATATTGTTTTAAATAGACACTCAAAGTGTAATCAAAGTTAAAATTTTTATTGTCAGCCTCATTTGTTTGTTTAATTTTTTCTTTTGTTGTTTTGTATTAATTTATTTCATATACATTATATAAATATAAAATATATTTAAACAGTTATTTTAGGGCTTTAAAAAAACGAAAAGAAGCATTCATACATTATATAGACATCTGTATATCAACAAAAAAAGCAATTTTCCATATTCATTATAATTTCAGGATATTTCTGTTGAAATAGATGGTCGAAAATATAAATTAGTTGATCTCATACCACCACCACCAGCACCAGTGAACTTTATAAAATTGAAGCAATTGGAAAGAGAACTAGAAAAACAAACGCGAAAATGATTAAAATATAAAAGTTAATATTAAAATTTAATGTTAAATAAAATGGCTATGACAAAACAAAAAGTAAAAAAAAATTAAAATATAACTTTATTTATATGGGTCCAAATTTTTTCTACAATAATATTTCTACAAAAATTTTAAATATATTATGCAAAAAACTTCAAAACTATAATCTGCACCATATAATTATTAAAACATTAAAAAAAATCTCATTGAATTTATACTTTCAAAAAACGATTCAAATAAAATAAATATGCAATAAAAGTTAATTTAAATGGAATGCATTATAAAAAAAATTAAAAATATTTAAGGGTAAGATTTAATAAATTACCTAGCATACGATAATTTTAACCAGTATATTATATAAATTTTAAAAACTAATGTATTGTTCAACTTGAATTTTCAAAAAAAAAAAAATGTTTTTTTCATAAAAGTATCTTTTTTGCTAAGAAATTTAATACTGCTTCTATATTATATTAGAAATATTTTCATTCTTTAATACACAAAATCGAAAAAAATCGTTCAAAGGCTTTTTATTAAATTTTCTTAAAATATTCAATTTTCATATTTCCTTATTAATTATAAATTAAAATTTTCATAGCTCAATAATGTCACATACATAGTATAAAGTACTTAATTTTTAGTATAAAATCATAATAATGGTATAGTTCTTTATTAAATTAACCAAAAACAAAATATGAATAAACCCAAAAAACTTAATGGTAAATTGCTAATCCTATTTTTTAGACTTTTATTTATTTTTTAAATATGTAGAATATTAATAATATTAAATGTTGTCAGCGACTATCTTTCTATCGTTTCTGAACTTATTAGAAACAATGAAATATTGATTTTGAAAACTTTCAACAAGAGTTTTCAATAGCTTCAATTCATATGATCTTAAAAGATAATTGGAAGATTCAAAATGTAAAGTAATTAGTCACCGAACAATCAATAATTTAAATAATTAAATAATTTATTTATTTGGAAGGGTCATTCGAAATCGAATGTAAAAAAAGTTATTTGTATTACAATAGTATAATATTTATGCCAATATTGGTTAATTTAATTAGAATTATCGAAAAAAAATTTTATTAGTTAAAATTCAATTCTTTAAATTTTTTTTATTACATAGTATATTCACTTTACACATTTTTTACTTATTTCACTACATATCTACCTAGATACTTAAAAATTACTTAAATAGAATCTTTCTAAATCTGCTATATTTTGTATGTATACATATATACATATATTCAAAATATTTACGGCTAAAATAGAAAAAATCATAGTGTAAATTACAGAACAATAAGGTTTACCCCTAAAATTAACATAATTATAAAATATTTATAATTTTTAGATAAGCAATATAACACTTTTCCTTTATAGGATGAATTATAACATAAATTTAAAATATATAAGTAGGTGACCAAATAATATTTTTCTTTAAACGTAATAGGTATGCAAATATTATTTTTTAAAAATTTTAGACTTTTTCTTTCCTTTTTTAATTACTTGTTCATACCATTTCATACACATATAATATGTAATATTTATCTAATATCTGAATTCTAATATATAAATTCTTTCATACTTAT